TTCCCTTAACTTGGATCCCCAGGTTGCACCAATCAGGCTGAAGGCCCGCAGGGTGCCTTTTGCCTGGAGGCCAAGGTTGATCGTCGACTTGTAGTCGGCGCAGATCCGAATGGAGCTGTCGGCCTTCACTGGAATCACTATGGGGGTTTCCCAATGTGAATGGTCAACGGGCTCCAGTACGTCCTGTGCCACAAGCTTATCAAGCTCGGCGTCCACCTTTGGCCTCAAGGCAAAAGGCACCCTGCGGGCCTTCAGCCTGATTGGAGCAACCTGGGGATCCAAGTTAAGGGAAATGGGACTGCCCTTATAGTAACCTAGCTGTCCATCAAAGATGTCAGCGTACATCAGAAGGGGGCGTGTCCGCTATGGAATGGATTCCGTCAAGAGATAGACCTAGGGGAGAGAACCAGTCCAACCCTAAAATGGAGGGTAAGGGCTTTAGCACTATTAGGGCTGGCAAGACAGCAGAATGAGTGCCATAGGAAACCCGTAGTGCGTAAGAACCCAGAGTGGGGATTTGAGAACCTTGATAGTCTTTTAAAATGGCGTCCGGGGGTGACAGTCGGGACCGTTTGACGTTGGGGCAGAGCTTAGAAAATTTGTCCCAAGACAGGAGGGATTTGGAGGAGCCGGAATCGACCTCCATTTGGCATGGTCTCCCCTCAATAGATAAAGTTATGTTGATTTTCGCCGTACCCTCTGAGGCCAGGTTGACAGCTATTTCAGGAAGAGAAGTGATGGCCTCAGAAAGGTTGTAGCAGTCGTCTTGGCGTTGAAGTGATTTGCGGGCTTGAGGGTTCTTAGGAGGTGGTGGTGGTCCGTAGGAGGTAGCAGGTTCGTTGGAAGGCGGAGCAGGCAGGGAGGCTTGACAGACCTGGGCCAGGTGTCCTTTCTTTCCGCAACAGCGGCACACCGCTGCTTTGAAAGGGCAGGTAGACCGGGGATGCGCGCCACCGCAGCCTAGGCAAACGGATGAAGCTGTAGGAGAACGGATGAGCGCTTGTGCTTGCTGAGGCTGTTGACGACGAGGAAAGACCCTCAGCCTGTCCACCTGAGCTTGTCTAAGGTGATCAGGCAGTGGAGCTAACTCGTCAATTAAGTTGGTGATATAAGAGGATTGTTGAAGCGGCGGTGGCTCAAGAGCTGGTTGAGAAGGCAAGGCATGAGCGTTCTGAGCGACAGGTAAACCGACAGTAACGGACATCTGGGCTAGGTAGCGCTCTATTTCTGATGAAGATGAATCAGCCAGCTCGGCGGCTCGAGCTTCATCAATCGCGTAGACTAGGGTAACTTTTGGTTTACCCAGTAATCTGCGTCTTAGAAAAATGTCTTTTAGACCGCACACAAATTGCTCTGCTAAGTTATCTTCAAGATCTGGAAAGTCACACTGAGCCGCGGCGACTCGCAGAGCCTGTAGGAACTGGTTGACCGTTTCTGAAGGCTTCTGCACTCACCTGCGGTATGCAAACCGACGAGCAATTTGGGAAGGAGTTGGAGCGTAATAGGCTTGTAGCCCGTCCGTTAATTCTTGCCAGGATATATTAGAAGACTGCTATCACATCACCTCTAGTCCTTCTTTTTTACTAGACCAGATTTACCCATTTCAATGTTTTAATCTCCAGCTTCCTAATCATCTTTGTTGCTCTTTGTATTACAGAATCTCAACATCTTTTTATATCATAGTAACCAAAACTGGATGCAGTATTCCAAGTATGATCTTACCAAAGCCTTATAAAGTATAAGATGTGATACTTGATTCTATCCCTCTGTTAATGCAGCCTAAGATTACATTGGATTTTTTGGCAGCTGCAGCTTACTGCCGGCTCAAATGTAAATATTTGTCTACTAGGACTCCAAGATCCCACTCACAGTTACTGATACTGAGCCAAGTTTCATCTAATCTATACTTGAACCCAGAGCAATCGTGAGGCATGCTCTGAGATCTCCACACGATCAACATATTTTAAAATTATTTGCTGGAGGTGTTTCAAATTCTCTCAGATAACAAGAAAATGTTAGCAACCAGCAGCTTTTACACAGTAGAACTGCACCAGGGCCCATGTTGGAAACCCACTGTGGTAGTCTAGTTTGCACCCATTCCCAGTCAATCTGTATTTCTAGATCAGCGTGAACAGGCACATAACTCAGTTTAGCCAGCAAAAATGTAGGTTGATGGGTATTTATTAAGTATCAGCAAGCATTAACAAGAATTAAGTGGCAAAATGGAACAAAAAGCAGACAAAAGCAGGGAGAGATATGAACAAAATCAAGAGTTTACATGATCTAAGAAATTAAGTACAATAAAAAGCATTAAACATTTTCCGAGCCACTGGAAACAATAATTAGCATGGACAGTCCAAAGGAAGTTGCTTTTGGTGTTTCCAATTTTAACTCTTTTATAAACAGTTTTTGCTTTGTCTGCAATTCTTATACCTCCCATGTTGCCCTTGGGTAATTACGGTAGTTGGAATTAGTTCTTTTCTCTTAAAATTTAGGAACAGTTTGTGCAGTCCTTTACATTCTCTGCATGATTGCTCTGCAGCACATATTTAGTCTCTATAGATAACCGGGTCATTTTGTGAGAAAAATAAATTCTCAAAGGAATGGGAATCTATTGATCAAATTTACATCAAATCAAAACATAAAATATTGTGGATAATTTAACATTATTAAGCTTGTTTTTAGCCCTTATATACACACACCACCAGAGATAAAAAAGGAACACCAGATGATCCTTCCTTTATTCTGTATTTAAAGAGACATTTTTTCCGACAGTGATGGTGCATTTAAAACCCCACAGAGAAAAGATACAATTTAATATGTCTTGTGATATGTGAAGTGATCAAAAAGACCAACACTTTTCTTTCAAGGCATTAATGCTAATTACTTATAATAACAAACTGAACAGTTATTTCATACTTCGGGCTTGTGAAGGGCTATATCTCTGGACAATCATAAATGAGGTCCAAGGTAAGTATTTCAGCTCAGCCATTCAACATGCCACACTTAACATGCTTAAAGGGAACTGATGTCTTACTTCTGCTTCCCACTTTGAAAGATGTTTCAATATTTGTACAACTTTTCCGATATAATTTCACTTTGATCCGAATTGCTGGTGATATAATCAAAGAGAATGAAGCCATAAGCTGCAGGCTCCGGATTTGTCTGAGATGGAAAAAGTTTTATAGTAAAGTAAGTTGGAATAAAAGCAAGGATGATGCAAGAATCACCAAAGAGTAAGAAATACAAAAGAAAATTAGAAAAGTGCAGTAGACTCACTCTAAAATTCAGCTTCTGGATGACTTGCTGGGAATCACTTTCCATAATCACACTAGAATTTAAAAAAAGGAAAGAAGTTAAACATCTTAGAAAAAAGAATTTTCAGTCTTGTTAATAGCGCTTAAAAAATCCTGCAAATGATAATAAGAGTTACCAGACAACCTGGCATGTGTACTCATTAACAGTGATCATCTTGCATAGGAAGAGGCATTGTTTCATTGAAGCAACATTTTCTTCTAATGCAATATTTTGTGTAGGTTTTTAGTATTAAAATGTCATAAGAACCAGTTAGTCAGTGCTGATGCTTGTTATGAGATTTCCTGGTCAGCTTTCAGATATTTATTTTGTGGTTTAAAGTTTTTATTCTAAATTTTATTCTGATCTTCCTACCTGTTTTGCAGAAGTGTGAGTACAGTCACTGCTTTTCTATATGAGATATTCCTCTGTATTTATCTTTATTTATCCCCCTTTCTTTTCTGATTTCAGTTCGGCAGTCCTGTCTCCTACTGAACTGAATTTTTTTTTACTTATAAATCTCAGTCTGAGCAATTTATATCCCAGGGAAACGAGTTCTCATCCATAAGCCACATTCAGCCTTCTATCTAATTGCATGTAACTTATTTAACATTTCACCCACACAATTCAGAATAATGGAAATATTTTTTTAAAAGGCTTACCACATCGGCTTCTACCCTGGTTTTGACCTTACTATGCTAGCTAAGCTCTGCCCATCACTGGCATCTCCCACCTTATATTAACACTATGGGCCTGAAGCCTTTGTCAGCATATACTTTTACCTGGAACAAAGACTGCTCAACTCAAGAGAGATTTCCTTTTGATTACACTTGTAGATAATCACTCTCTGTCTCAAGAAAGTGGGGACAAGGCCAATTTGGAAGTAAATAAAGACAAATTTTGAAATGTGAATTTAAAGTATCCCTTATTTTTACCATTCAGCTGGCTTTCTTAATGTGACATACCTACATTGTATCTCTCAAGTACTTTAAATCATTGTGGTTTATTTATTTATCAAATGTATATGTATTTTTCTCATCGTTCAAGATGATTCTCAGCAGTTTATGAATCATGGCAATTATTTTTATATCCTGATTAGAATTTGAGAGTAATATAATTAGTTAGTTTGCCAAAATTTGCCAAATGTACTTATAGCAGAAAGAGATTTTGAATAATATTGTATTTAAACTGCACAATATTGTGCATTATACAGAGTACACTATACAATACATACTTAAATCCAAATTTATATTTAAAGACTACCAGGTAGTGTCAGTATGAAATGTATTTCACTGTAGTTTTTCCCTGTGATTCTTTGCATATGTTTTCCCTTCCACAGAAATCTCACCCTCCATCAACAATCTCATCCACTACAAGGAATACCCCATCCATGTTTTCTATCAGAATTCGTTTCTCCACATTCTTTCTAGATAAAAGAGAAAACGACAGCAATGTTAATTCCAGGATGCATTATCTACATTTGCTTTCCATGATTTCCTGCCTGCTACATTCCCCAGGATTTCTAATGTTATGCTGTCTTACAATGGTTTAAGAGTTAATGCCTTTTCCTCAGAAATCTCTTGGAAATGTAATTTCATAAAGGGTCAGATTAGACAAAAGATCTTTAAAATAAAGAATTCTCAGCACCTTGTCAAATTACAACTTCCAGAATTCACTGGAGAAAACCAGGATAAAAATTATGTGATATAATTATATAGACTGATAAAATAGATGCTTCCCCCCCCTCAAAAAATAGGATTTTTTTAAAAATGGAAGATGTTTCTGGAAATAGGCACTTTTTTCCAAAGAAAATATTGGTTATAAATCATTGTTTAATTCAGGAGTTAAGTATTGGAATTCCATGGCCTAAGTGATTGCTTAGTTGAGGATATTCTTTTTTGGAATACCTACCTTTGGTTTGTTTGTTGCCAGTGATTTGGACCATGTGGGCTAAATTTTGAGAAATTGCAGTTGCAAATAGAGCTTTGAAGCCAATAGATCTCAATTGGAGTATCTAGAGAGTAGAGGTCAAAGACTGGATTCTATTCCCTAGATTTTGATATATGATACTCTGGTAGAATGCAATATATATTTTTTTTGCATTTCAATACCCAGATGATACACTGTTCAATCTCTTCTGAAATGTGTACCATACAACTCTCCATAATGAACTTTTGCCTTCCAGAAATAGCTTCCAAGTGAATTCAAAATAGCAAAGAATGACTTTTTAAAAAGTCAATTATATTCTCATGTTAAAAGCACTTTTTAAAAAGCACTTCTTTGAAAATAAATACAAAGGCCTTTATTTAGTGTCAATATTATAGATAAATCTTTACTGTTGAGATATTGCAAAATTGAGATATCTGTGCTAAAAATAGCTACCAACCAGTAAAGGTATCCTATTTTCCCCACTACTGGTTTGGTAGTGGGAGCACACACATGTCTGGGCATGTGTAGAACCTTCTGCGCGTGTGCAAAAGGTCCTTGATGATGTCTGAGTGGGTGGGTGGAGCTTTACGATGAAGCCACTACTTGTTCACCCGAAATGGTGTGAATCGTCAGCATACCACCTCTGCAATCGACTCTCAGGTTGCTACTTATTGTACTTTTATAAAACTTCTTGAAGAAGAACTTCAGATATTGTTCTCTATATAGACACCAACCAGATAGTGATTACATATGTATTTCTATGCAATGGGAGGTCAATAATGGAAAGCATAATTCAGAGGACATGTTGAATTTGCTTACAAGGAACTCCTTTGGGGAAAATAAACTGTAATGTCAATTCAACACAACCAAGATTAGGTTAGAAGTGATCATTTTCAATTGCCCACCCAGAATTATTTAAGATTAATAGCCATATAAATCTTTTAAACAAACAAAAATAATACTTTTTAAATGCCAGAGGAACTCAAGAAAACTATAAATATTTCTTGGGAGATTTTTATTAATATTTTTTAGATTTTATTAATATTTATTAATATTTGATTTGATTTTCTTAAGGGCTTGCAATTTGGCTTGTATTCTTAGACTAACCAAAAGCCTTCCTTCTTAAAGACGATGCTTCTTGACATGTGCCAGGCCACTATAGGCAGCAATATGCAACTGGGATTATCCATATATATTCAGACACAAGAAGGTTATTGGTAGGTTCAATGAGTCCTGACAATTTCTGCTCCCCAGTCCATAATTTTGGTGCTTGATAAAGTAATCCTTAATTCCCAGCAGAAATAACAAAAGTAACTCACCGCAGCATATGACTGAGGGATTCAAAGAGACAGGAAAGAACTGACATCAGCATTAACTGGAAAAAAATGGGATTCAGAAAAGAAACTCTTATCAATAATAGTCAATATCTGGTATAAGCATATATTTCTGCCTAAGTACTACTCTTCAGAAATCAATTGGAAGCAAATCAAATTGGGGTTTCCACAAGGCTCTTTCACCTAGCAACATATGAGCTTTCTGCACAAAAATGATTTTGTGTAAATCATTATTTGGGGTCCTGTCCAATCAAGATGAGTCTTAAAAGCTTCCTCCCTCAAGTTTCTTTCTTTCTTTGCTTCCTATTTAACTTTGTCTTGCCAAAGAGATAATTTTTGGGAAAAGGAAGCATGCACCAAATATAAACTAAATACAAGTACAAAATCTAGAATATTATTTTGTCTATTCTTTTGTCACACTTTTTGCTCATTTGCCTATGGTTTAAAAATTATTTTTAAAGGACATATTACCTCATTTTCATGGGAACTCCCCACCACATAAAAGAAAAGATCAATGCTGCTTTTATAGACTATAGTTAAGCCTTCTAAGAAAGCAATCTCACCTGTGGGAGAAAAAGAGAAAGAGAGAATTATATTAACATTGTGTTCAAAGTATCCAAAACCTGAGAGGCTGATGGTTTGCCATATCTTATTTTGGCTGTACCCATCTAATATCTGCATATTTCAAGAACTGTGACTCAAAAGGAAACTTTCCATAGATGCTAGTCATTATTGATATGGTTTTTTTAAAAAAAAATCTTTCAATTTGAGTTACTGGCAACCAGACCTAGTTAATTCGATAGCAGTAGAATTGTGCCTGTTATGAAAATAATTCAGAATTCTGTGCTTTGGAAATTACCCAGCCATGAATACAGCCTCTTTCTGCTACTTGTTAATGCAGTCCTTTTTTTTTTTTGCTAGCTTCAAGTCCTGCCTGGAAAAAGAAATTGCTTTAAGAATTTGGTTAACTTTAATAAATCAACTCCTTTAAGCAATTGCACTTTCTCAGGTTTGCATAGAAAAGATTGGCTGATTTAATGAATAACAGAGACATGCTGTGTTCATGTCCATATAAGGTCCAAAGCAGTGGTACTTGCCTGCCACTTACGTGGCCTGGTTCTGAATGGACAGTGGCCCACTAGTGGCTATAGACTGGGGTTTGGGAACCCCTGGTCTAAAACACTGAATTCTGAATTATTCTCAAAGCATGCCCAATCCTCAGCTTAGGTGTAAAATATATTTGCCTTCATGATCACAATCAATTTTTGCCCTGTGGGTTTTTCCTGTAAGGTATAACACCCTGGACATATAAGTTTACGGAAGTGGTCTTTAAACCCATTTCACCCACTGCTTGCCTCTTTGTTTCTGCTAGACTCAGTCATATGACAGGTTTATCCTCAAAGTCAGATCAACAAAACATAATTGCTACAATTGCATACATGCTGTGCCCTTAAATGATCATACAATAGGCTAAGGATTTATCATAAACTCTGAACCACAAATGGCACAACCTCATTTTAGCCTATTCAAGTGTGTTGCATAAACTTTACTCTATGTGCTTTTTGTTACTGGCTACTTGAAATACATTTTGTGACATAGGAAGGAGATCTGAAGTGCTGAATCAAGGGTTTCTGTTCAGCAGGCCAAATGGTCAAATTGCTGAGTTTTGAGATGAATTTTTACTCACTTTCTGTCTTATGAGTTTTGTTGAAGACATTTCTCTCAAAGCTCTTCTGTTCTTTTGTTGATGAAAATGTGTTGTCATAATACTGTGGACAGTCAGAAAAGGATATTTAAAATAGAATTGAAACAACAGAGGCATGGGAAATGGTTTGCAAATTGGAGTTATCTTTATTCAAAATAAATTTATTGTGTTGGTTATGGAAAATAGGGTATCATAGCCTTCCAAAACTATCAGGTGAAAATAAATGTAAAAAATACAGATTTCCCCCAAATATAACTTCTCCTCCTTATGGCCTTTAATACTGCAAAATGTTTAACACCTATGTTCTTTTTTCCTAATGTTCTCTTATTTGTTCTCTTCCCATACTTGGCTTAAATCATGTTTTAACTGCCATCTCATTCCTTTCTAAATTCATCTCTGTGATTCTCTAATTTGTAATCTATGCACTGGTAAATTTAGATGCTAAATTGAGTTATGGGAGAGTTTGTGTGTGTGATACACAATAAAGTGGACACACATTATATTATGAAGATCTCTTTAATAGGGTCTGGATATATGTGACCTAAATTCTGGCCTCAAGAGCACCACTGCAGGCACATAGGCTTCTCTCCAGGATGACACAAGTCATGATCAATTAGGATTTCCATCCTCAGAGACAATACCCCAGTGTCTGGAATAGTCTATAGTTTTGACAACACCTAATTGCTTTGGCTGATTTTGTCAAGCTAAATAGTGTTGGTAGTGGTTAATACTTGATAAAAGTTCATCAGGAAATTAAGAGCTATAAATCGTCCTCAAATCACAATTGCAACTGGGAGCAGAATTTTCACCATAAATCAGGTGAAACCCAATTTTATGACAATTTTTACAGCGGTCAAGCAAATCACTGTAGACAATAAACTAATCAAGCTTTCTCAATGAATTTTTTAAAACAGAAATTGGTAAAAAAAAAGTCATAGTTCTGCAAGATGTTACAGCCAATTGTAAATGCAAACTGGTTATCAAGTGCCCAAATTGCAATCATTAAAATTGTGAAACAATTCTTTGAACAAATGGTTGTATACTGGGAAGTAATAAAAAAAAAAAATCTGAGAGAAAGACATTAGCAAACTCTCTCCCTATTGGTACCAAAGGAAGTATATTAACTTGCCCATCTCACCAACAGTTGTGTCTAATTTGAAGTAGTTCTTAACCTTAGACTGATGATGATCAAACTCCAAATGGGGCCACTAGCACCAATTATAGATAGCAACTGGCATAGACCATTATTGGTACTGAACAATGAGTAAGATCTATAATTTGACTTCTTATAAAGCAGTTGCCTATATTCTGTTCCCTACCTAATAAATGCAGCCAGCCAAATTTATCATGATTACTTAAAGTAAGGATCACTTATTCAGTTGGCTTATTTACCTGTACTTTCAGTGGGAGCTAATCAACAATTGCTTTAGATAATTATTTTATTTCTTAATTATTGGTATTTTACCCTTGATGGTAAAATCACTTTAGATGAAAGATAGTGAGTGATTGATACTAACAGTAATAACAATTACAACAACGATAATGGAGATTCCAGCCGTAAGTTGTGATCCCATTATCATTCATATTCTAGCCATTCTATATAATGGCTAGAATTTAAGAACTTCAATATATCCTCAAAAACCTTATTGTTTATATGTGATCTGGCAGCAATTCTGCTCCCTTGGCCTCCAAAACCACGTAGCAGAAAATGCAGAATAAGAGTGACTAGTAGATGACTTTTATTCCAAATAACTGCCTGGACAATTGGGCTTTTTATTATAGGAAGTAGACAGCTGAGGCAGCTGGGACGCTTAATGGAGCTTTATAAAAACAGCATTGAGGAGGAAATGAATTGAATGAGACATAAGTGATAAATTGGGAGTGAAAATGTTTTTCCTGTTAGAATTCTACAGTACAGGGACACTGACCAAAACTGACATATAAGAGAGAGAAAGATCTTCCAATTGTAAGGAGCAATTGACAGAAATCATAAGGTATTTGTCTGCAAGCAGCAAAAATGGTTTTAAAAAAGTAGATAGCAAGGAATTCTCTTGGACAATTTCAGAGGCCCGCAGAATGACACTCAGATGCCTTTTGTAAACATAATATTATATAGATATATGGAAATAGAAGGGGGAAATTATGAACTATGTATGTGCAAAGGGGGATAATCCTATGAATTAAACAGCCACTTTGAACCAGTGGTTAATCTTGCCTTAGTTATGAAAGCTGGTGGGATGAAATTGGATCATTCTCAGTCACTCTCCCTTAACCCAATCCACCTCAGAGGGTTGTTGTGGAGAAAATAGAGAACGGGGGAGAGGAAGCCAAAAGAAGGAAATCATATTCTCCAACTTAGACAATTTTATTAACTTTCCCTGACCTTAGGTTTATCAGACCTTCAATAAGTAAGCAAAATGTCAAACAAAATTGCTAAAAGTATCCTACCTTAGCCAAAAGTCGCTGCCCAAAGCTGTCCAAGATGAAAATTGCTTTAATGGTATACAGAGATGGTTCCTAAGATCAACATTAATTGGTTTCATTTTACTGCGAGATTCAGAATATTCAGACAACAAAATAATTCAACAAATGATTTGCAAAGAGAGGTACTAATAAAGGAGAATGTTTGTATTTCAGAGTTGAAATGAGGGTCTGTGGTGGTCTCTGAATATGGTTGTTTTCTTGCAGATGTTTCATTTACCACAGTAGGCAACATCACCATTGCTGTTAGGGAGTTTGCTCTTAATTTATTCTCTAGTGGCTTGTCCTGTCAGTATTCATGGGAGTGGTCTTGTGGTGGGTTTTATGGTGTGTGAAGGTGGGTGGGTGGGTGGGTGAGCTATTTACTGTTAAGTTTGTTTGGAAGTTCCTTGATTGGAGTATTGTTCACTTCTTGACTGTTGGCCTGATGTCAATCTTAGTATTAATCTACGCTCTTCTGGGTGTTGATTGCTGATGAAGAGGTTTTGGCCTTTTTGCTATCTTTTTGACTTGCTGATAGTTCTTTTGCACAGTATGTAGATGTTATGTCTATGGACGGCTGATTTGTCAGGGTGTCAGGATTCCAGAAGTTCTCTAGCTTTTTTTATTTGGTTTGATTTAAGATGATCACAATTTTCCAGTTAAAATTATGATTAAGTCTATTTTGTATGAAAATTAATGAGTTTTCATCATGTCTTGTGCAAGTTGGTTTTCAAGGATGTGTTCTCCAAGTCTTCTGCCCATCTGCCCTATATAATGGCTGTTGCAATCATTACACTGAATGTTGTAGATGACTCTTGTTTTTTCTTCTAGGGCTGTTTGGTCTTTTGGCTTACTTAGGATGTTTTGGCTTTACTTGGTTTGTATCCTACATCAATTCAATGCCATGTAGTTGTAAAAGTCTGTTGATGGTTTATGAGATATTTTTGATGTGTGGCAGTATACTTCTTACGCTTGGGTTGTTTGTGGTATATTGAGTGGGTGAAAGTGAAGTCTCTGATGTTCAACATCTATTCAACAGGCTTTTCTGAAACTTTTCTTTGCATTATTTAACTAATATTTCTACATGTCTATAGTTAACACGCTTCTCATCATTCTCATCACAACCTATCATTTTTTCAAATTTCTGTACTAATGTTCCGGATTCTATTACATTTCTAGTCAACCCAAAAGCATAATAGGAAGGTGTCAATAGGTTGGGAGAAAAACTTCCTTCTTTAGTAAAGCAGTTAAACACCAAAAACCAACTCAGCAAGGACAGAATAGTCTGTGTTGGTGTTGGTGATGGAGACGGGAAATTGAGTAGAGGATTAAAAGCATTCCTGAATAGCATTATCAGTATAGAAACAGTTTGCTACTGTTGTTAATTTGTTTAAGTATATGCCAATATGTAGCTTTGGTTTGGTTTTGGTTTTATTGAACACTTATAGGCCGCCCTTTTTCCTGAGGGGACTCAGGGC